TGCGGGCAGGGTCGGCCCCGTGCCTCAGGCTAAAAGGCCTCTCCGGGTACCTGCGGGCAGGGTCGGCCCCGTGCCTCAGGCTAAAAGGCCTCTCCGGGTACCTGCGGGCAGGGTCGGCCCCGTGCCTCAGGCTAAAAGGCCTCTCCGGGTACCTGCGGGCTGGGTTGGCACCGTGCCTCAGGCTGTACCCAGTACAGGGCATTGGAGATCCTCAGATCTTACTTAAAGAAGGTAAACCTTCTGACGGACAGAAGGATGGCCGTCAATGGCACGGACGATCACAAGGCCTCGTAAACACCGCCCGTGCAGGCTGGGTGTCCGTTAAGCTTTCAGTCTCTCCCCAAACCTCCCTACCGCTCTAGACCAGTATCCGGGCTGGCTGACAGAAACCGGAAACCTCGGATTACACTGGAATGCCCAGCAACCCTGACCTTGTGGGACCAGGATGTTTCTCCAGTGGAATTCGAGACACTGGGGCTCAAAGTGTGATCAGAGCTCCTTGTGTTTACTTACAGGGTGCAGGCATATCAAGTGTTAAACTACAAACACTTACAGGGGGTTACTCTGGGTATACACAAAGTTTACATCGAGCGTACACCAAGTTTACAACAGCTTTACACAGCCCGTGGACACAGGAGGCAGACTGCTGACGTCGCACCCGGACGGCGAGTGAAACCCAGTACCACAATCTCTACTTGGTAAGACTATAAGAGTTTAGAAGGTCACACCCACAGTCAGGGGCGGATTAAGGTGTACAGAGGCCCCTAGGCTACAGTAGTCTGTGGGCCCCCCAACCCCACCCCCCTCCGCGCCAATGGGGGCCCCCTTGCAGGCTGGCACACGTGGGGCCCCTAGGCTTAAGCCATATCTAGCCTGTGCGTTAATCCGCCCCTGCCCACAGTGACGTGTGTTTGGAAAGAAGCGACAAAAGAAAAGAAAATGGGGGTGAAAACAAGAAGAAGATGGTGACAGATAAAAGCCAAGCGGGGAGGAGGTCTGGGAGGTCTGGCACCTGCAGAAGCACTGCGGGATTTCTCCAAGGCCGTAGATGGGGAAGAGGAAAGGCGTGTTGCTGTAGCGGCCGAGGGAGCGCAGGAAGTACTGGGTGGAGCGCAGCCCCTCGCCTGTGCGCGTCTCCGGCGGCACCATGGCGATGGAGTGTAGCAGAAAGTGCTGGATGTTGTCCGTCAGCTTCTTCGTCTGCAGGAAGTCCCAGAAAGATCTCTCCGTGAAATCTGGGGGGGGGGGTAACCAAAATCACAAGTGATGCTATTGGTCTACATCGGTGTGAATGATGGGACAGCCCCCGAAACCCCAGCGTGACCACCTTCCTGCGTAGGGCTGGGGGAGTGCCGTACCCAAGTACTCCTCGGGGTGCTCCTCATAGTCCAGGCAGAAGGTGAGGAACTTCATGAGCATCCTCTTCTCCACCATCGTCAGCTGCTTACTGCCAAAGACATCAGCCCGGGAGCAAGGAACCTGGAGGGAAGGTGCAGGAGAAAGCTGAGGCCCAGCAGGCGGAGGTCAGGGTGGAGGCCCAGCAGGCGGAGGCCCGGGTGGAGGTCAGGGTGGAGGCCCAGCAGGCGGAGGCCCAGCAGGCGGAGGTCAGGGTGGAGGCCCAGCAGGCGGAGGTCAGGGTGGAGGTCAGGGTGGAGGCCGCTTTGCGAGAGCAGGCTCTGATGAAAATGATCTGTGATTTTGAGAAAAGCTATCGGACCAATGACGAGTGCAACAAGCGCTTCTGAATCAACAAATAAGGGCTAGAGACAGCAAGTAGGAGAAGAAATGTTAAATATACTGATTTGTGCTTGACAGTTTCTCAAATCCCACTTCCTACAAACTTTGCAAACTCCCATCAAAAGCATGATCAGCTGTACTGCTTCGGTCAATGTCTGTGTGATATCAGGGTACTACTGCAAGACAAAACTACTACCGGAGTAATTAACGGTGCAGAAACAGCGGGTCAATACTTGGACCCTAATGGATCACAATGGACACCGGGAATGAGTATCATCACGTATGAGTTTTAGTCTGCAAGATCAACCCACTGTCCGTCTGTTTTTATGTATAATGCTGTCAGAAACCTAGTGGAAAAAACACCATCATCTTCTGGCAAGGAGTGTCTACAGTGATATCATTAAACTCAAGAACTGCCTCATGACTTTAACCAGGATAAGCAGATAGAGGATGGATGGATGGGTGGGTGGATGGGTGGGTGGATGGATGGACGGATGAAAGTCAGTTCTGCTGGCTGAGAGGTGAAAACAGGAAGGACCTTCAGTTGTGGAGGTGGAAGAGAGCCTGGACCACAGTGAGGCCATCTGGCCTACCTGCTCCAATTTGCCATCGCGGTAGGTCAGGATGCGGCTGACGTTCTTGAACTCGGCATATCTGCTGACGTTGGACTTGATGAGAAGGTCCACCAACAAGCCGCGGGAGTACAAGAGCTGGGGGGGTGGAAGCCCAGAAGGAGCCGATCAGGCCAACACTCAGATGGAAGTTGGTCTACTTCTCTCGTTTGCAGCAGCAGGGTTTAAGCCTGTAGGATGTAGCTACAGTAGACCCCCAGTGTGTAATTACGCTCTTCCCTCTCTGCAGATGAGCTGAGCTCCTCAACTTACCTTAGACACCAAGTCAATGTTGAACCTCCGACCCTCTTTCACGATTTTTGCATAGCTGATCTTCTTCACCTCCGTGGGACTCGGGTTTGCAGATGGCTCTTCTCCTTGAACCTCTCTGGCCTGGCTGGTCTCTGGGCTCGCAGCCTCCTCGTCCTTGCCAGGTGCCTCTTCTGCACCGTCCTGTAGGAGCCCGTCGATCTGGCCTTGACCTTCTTGTGGAGCGTCTCCCTCAGGCACCTCCTGGGGGCACGTGGGGCTGTCGGACTGGGCATCTTGTTCACCTTCAGCCTGTACTGGTGCCGGGGTATGTCTCGACGCATCCGCCTCCTTCTCCTCCTCCTCGGGCTCCTCGCTGCCAGCGACAAGACAGAGACTCATTCCTCAAAGCAGCTAAACATCGCCATTGCAAAGTTAAATTTAATTCCATTTATTTTTATATACCACCCAACAGAGTTGCCCCTAAGTAATTATAGAAAGACATTTGAGCAGTTAGAGTATTAAAATTTGTACAAGGGGGAAAAAAATGAGATAAAAAAAAAAACCGCGAGAAGAATGAGGAAAAAATGAGAAGAATCCAAGCCTCATATAGTAGCTACGAGGGAGGGGGGACTCTGGAGGTCACTCCCCCATGGACTAGAGGAATGATGGCTTCTCTTTGGGCCCAAATTTAGGTGCCAAAGAAACCTTATCCTACAGTAAGAGAATCCACATCAGCGAGCTCAAGACAAGACTAGCCAAGGAGACAGACTGCTGGCAAGAGATAATCAACATGGTCAACCAGTCAGTCAGCATTCGCTAAATGCTAAACCTACCCACAGCCAAAGACAAGTGCCAGACTTCGGAAACGAACCACCACCTCCTCCCTGACGTGGCCCGTCTCTTTTACTGGGTGTTGGGGTGGGGGGTTATCTTGTTTTTTAATTACAGCTCCCAACATAATTTATGATTTGCAATATGGAGCTGCTTACAGCAAAATTTCCTACTTAATTTTTTTGTTGCAGTGGAGTGAGAGCATCAATCACGGCGACGTCTTCTGTGGCAGGTGAGGCATCACCTGCAGCAGCAAGGGGGATGTGGGGGAAAGGGCGGGACGGGCGGGACCTCCCGGGCCGCATCGCAGGGCCCGCCCAGGTGCCTTGGGAAGGGGTTTGACGTGTTTCACACCAATGGCAACATCATTCAAGATCAGAATAGCAGGGCTTTGAAGGCAGACCTGTCACCCACACGCGATGAGAGCGGGAGGCCCACACCCAGCCCCGAGGAACCGCAGCCCTCGGTCGCTTCCTGCCCTGCTTAGTGCTAACAGCAGCAGATCAGCGTGGCTGCCGCAGCCGCCCACGTCTCCGGATTCGCTCTGCCCATCACTGCCTATTAGCATGTGCCGTATTGTCTTAATGACACTGCTGACATGTGCAATATTTTTACACTAACTGCGAAACTGGATCACAAGGAGAGAAATAATCCATAACATCACACTTATTTTGTTCAAACACCTACTTTTTGTCATGGGTTTTTCTATTTTTTTTTCTTCCTTGTTTACATTTTATTTCTTACACTCCTTTTATATTCAGTTTTATATTCTTTCGGTTTATTCTGTATATTTTATTTTATTCATCTTATTTTTTTCTTTAATTACTGACTTTTCTTTCTTGTACCGACAAGGGCAGCTTTCCAGTTTCATTGTACCTTGTGCAATGACAGAGGCCTTCATTCATTCATCCATCCATCCAGAGACTGTGACCAGGCTTAGCTCATGAGTAGCAGTCCAAAAAATTGTGAGAAATAGGGACACGACTGCGTGCAACACACACTGGCTTCTGAAAAACCCAAAGGTAGAATCCGCAGCAGGACCATGAAATATACTCTTTAATACTCTATAATACTCCACAACACTCTTTAAAAAGGATGGCTGGCATCCTTTGCAGGGTGTCCCTGCTCATCATAACAATCGCACCAGGCTCTCGGAGCCTGAAGACAGTGCTGCCCTCTGCAGTCCAGCACCTGGCGTAGCAGAACACTTCCAAGTTGGTGATGGACGTGTCCATCACGCTCAGCACCAGGGCCTCCTCGCCCTCCTCCAGCTTGTCCCCCCAGTCTGTCGCCTCCTCTGCGGAGCTCTGCCCCCCCTGCTGTAAGACAGAAGAGCTTTTAGCACGGGGAGGTGCAAACTGGCCTGCGTCTAGCTAACACTGCATCCATTACAGGATGCCTAATAAACAACGTTAGCAATCAGAGGCAGGCAATTACATTCTGATCAGCTGTAAGTTACTCCATTTTGAGGCAGCGACACTGGCAACGGACCGCACCTTGCACTCCTCCATCCAGGACAGCAGCCCATTAAACGTGAAACTGGCCCAATTTCCAGCATAGTAGCTTCTCCTGTAGGAAGAGCTCTATTAATATCATATACGTAACACACATGGAGGGATACACTTACTATACAACATTCATATTACATACACAATGCATGTGTAGCTGTGTCCTATACAGAGTACATATTACATACATACCATGAGTGTTGGTGTGTGCTCACTATACAGCATATTACATACAGGACACGCATGTATGCGTGTGCTACAGACAGTATGATAGATACATAACATACGTGTAGGTGTGTGCTGTAGAGCAAACATTACATATGTAACATGCGCAGGTGTGTGTGTCGGTTACACATCACAAACAGGAGCAAGCAACGAGGTAAGGAGACCAAGATCCCTGCAGCAGGACAAACCCCCCCCCCGCCCCCTGGGACCCGACGTCCCGCGCCGGATGCGCTCCGCTGCTTTGCGGCCCACGACGGCCCCCCTGTACCTGTCAACGTGCAGGACCCGCTGTCCCACGCGAGAGCAGGCAGCTGCGATGACGGACTCGGTCAGGCCTGTGATGGGCAGAGACAGGAAGCATTGTGAGGCGGCCGGAGCGGCCGGACTGCGGCGATGCCGCTCGCCTGAATACAGACAAGTAATTGAATGAGAGAAGGGGTCCGGCAGCAGCGCGCCAGCAAGCGGCGCTTCGCTCACCGCGGCCGCACAATCAGACACCAGCGATGTCTTTGGGAGGCAGACCGGCGCTTTCCTTAAATTGCGAGTGAAATGTCCGGAAAGAAACACTTAGGCCTCTGCGGAGGCCGATCGAAGCTGGCAGCGGAATGCGCCGCAGCGGGCCGCGGGGGGGGAGGGGGGGGGGGGTCGATAGCTGCTCCTCCGGCTGATACGAGGCAGATGGAGAGCTGCTTCCGTCTCCCCGCGTCTCTGGCTGAACTTAAAGGCGCTTCATGGATGCGGGAGGGACGTCAGAGCCGCCCCCCCCCCCGCATGCCTGCTCAGCCCCGAGGACCCGCCGGGATTCCGTGAAGGAGAAGACACCACAAACCGGGGGGGGGGGGGGGGGGGGGGGGGGTAAGATGGAAAGGCTGCGGCTGGGATGTCATTGAGAGCAGCGGTAATATGGAGGCAGGAGTGTGTCTCCATCCCTCTTCCCCCTCATCTGGCCTTGCGCGTTTCCATCTCAGAAACTCAATGGAAAAGTGATTTATTCTCATCCGCCTGTCACGTCTTCATCCTCCTGGAGAGAGGACGCCCGGCCAGGTAGACACTGCAAATGGCGCCCCCTACTGCACCACAGGTAATGGGGCAAGTCACACGCAGTGACCACCTGAATTTAGCTTAACCAGCATTAATAGTTAGCAGGTTTCCCTATAACTAGCTGGGCACCAATACATTAACACGATAAAAAAATGAGTTTCATCTCAATATATTTTGGATCAACACCATAACCTACAGATACTTTACACTCAAGAAACTCATATTAAGGTTATTTTTAAACTTGCTGTGTTCATTAAGGGATTCAGAATGTGACAGACACCAGCATCTTTAACAGACGACACTTGGCAGTGTTGGTTAATCCATTCAGGGAACCAGTCTGCTCCACATATCAACCACCCGGCCCTTTCTGCATCAACAAAAACCAGCTAACTATAACCTGGTACCGTGGCTGTCGAACATTTGGCTTCACTGGCCGCACACGGGTCTGGATAAATGGTCCCAGATTCAGACCGTGTTGGTTCTTCGGAATGAACCAGCACACTGCCCATAGAAAAATATACATGCATGTCACAATTTTATAATAGAGAAGGGGGCTCTTTAGCCTGGGTAAGTGTCCTTGCTCTACAGATAGAGACGTCCGGGACAGGGAAGCCCGCGGCCCACAGTCCAACCCGGCTGATGGGTCGGTTCTGACAAACCCCGCTGGGAGACACCATCTCAACCTTCCACCTGGGGCAGCGCTGAAGAAAAAAAAAACTTTTATTAATAATTGACTGGCTGTAACTCGGCTCTGTCTCAATTAAGTCCCTGGTGGAAACGACTCTGGCCTGTATTTCTCTGCGCAGACGACCCAGAAGATGTTTTTAAAAAGGTAAATACGCCCTGCACCACTTTTTTAATGCCATTTATCGTATCTGCTATTGATTTTTCCACATCATGTTTGCTAAAGACAAACATTAGCTGCCATAAAGGTGCGGAGCAGCACAGACATGCTCCACGATAAATAATAGATTGGCCAGGCAGGACTTTGATGAGCGTGCAAAGACCAAAATGCTTTCAGCAGGAATTGTATGAAATCATAAATCACTCTTCATTTCAGGGAACATTCCAAAATGGATTCTATCTCTCTACCTTCAAAGTCATTTCGCACGTTATTTATAGCCAGGCCGATAGCGCTCGGACAGCATATACCGAGGGGGGGGCCGCGGGGGTGGGCGCACACAGGCCTCCGGCGGGGAAGGCGCTTCGGTCATGCCTGCGCGGGGACGTGAGCCTTCCTTCCTGCGCGGCTGTCGCAGTAACGAGCGCTGACCACCGAGCATGCCCAGTGGAGCTCTAGCGAGTCCTGAGCTATCCACAGCAGCTGCTTCATTATTCATACATCGATTTATTATTATTATTACTACCTTATTAAAAGATAAAACCTGGCAGGGCAACATCCCTTCTTTAACCAACCTGCACCCACCACATACTGCGAACCATTTCCTGTTTAAAACCTGTTTGCCAAACACAGAACGATCTCTCCACATTCAGGTAGACGCACACCGATATCTGACACCCAGGTCAACGGGACGGGCCCCGAACCGGACCCCCGAGGACCCACTTCAGCTCCTCTGCCAGACCTCAGATGTCGGGAGATCCGGCACGAGGGGCAGGAGGCCGTTGACACTCGTGATCCAATAACTACTAATGGAATCCATTTAATCCGGCAGCCCAGGAGATGGATAGTTGCATTAACACAATAGCAAAGACGTCCCTGTTAGATGTCCTGCATTTTACGGCCATGCCATTAAAGCCAGCGCGCCAGCGAGCAGCACCCAGGCGGGCTAATTGGCCATCTCAATCACGGCTGTCCTGGGACTACGCCAACAGCGCCCCCTTCCCCTCACCCGGGGAGCCACATTCTCGGCAAGGGCCGGGGGGCTCATGGCCATAATTCGCCGATAATGGGCACCATTTCCCCTCAGCGGGTGTACAGCATCTCACGCCGTCGGAACGGTAACACCAAGAGTGGGGCTGGGCCGTGGTGTTCAAGGCGAGCGAGCGGCGCCATCCCACTGGGCCGGCCTCTCCGTGACTCCTCTAAACACCGTGCCGTAACAGTGGCAGATTGACGGGTGCGATAAGTGTGTGTGGCGGTGTGTGTAACCCCAGGGGGCTCCGTGCACCTCGGCCGGCCGTCAGGGAGGCAGCTGGCCGCACCTCAAGCTCTGACCCCCGCTCCCCAGGACAGACGGGAGACATTCCAGCTGCTCAAGGTCCCCCCCGCCTGCCCACCGACCCAGTCGCCCTGAAACACTACACGTCGACGTGTGCATGCCGGACTGGGAGCCTTTGCCATCCCGACATGCCATGCGGTGATATTCACGGGAAGAGATGGCCGGATGCGAGATGGGGCGGATCCGCACGAACGACCGTGACTCGCAGATGACGGGCAGGGACCCTGCGGCCGGCAGCGACCTCGCGATAGACCCCCCCCCCCATTCCTCGCTGTCAGATTAGCATGGAACGGCACTGCTGCTGCTAGAGGGACATGTCTCTGCTGGTAATTAAAAGGCAGCCGTAAATCAAAGGGGCTTCCATAAATACAGGATGGCGGGCAGATTTAGCGTGCTGGGCCCCTGTAAAGCAGCATTAAAAGAAGTCTTAATAAAACACACAGCGCCGAGCGCATAGCCGCATAACCCGGCTCCTCACCCATGTCCCCCTATATTACGGTACCATCCGCCTGTGTCCCTGACAGCAGCAGCCGTTCCCAGCCCGGGGGCTGATCCATTTACGATGACGGGGGACCTTGACTTCCCTGTACCCGCACAGCAGCAGGAGGAGCAGCAACGTTAACTCCCCCCCCCCCGCCGCTGCCGCCCCAAGGCCCACAAAAGAAAGAAACCAAGGGCGAATGTTAACGAAGGCTATGTGTGGCACCGTGATCTCCACTTGCAAAGACCGCTTACCGCTCACCTGCGATTCTGCTGCGGGGGGGGGCACTACCCCCCAGCCCCCTCATGCTCTCCAAATATGAGCGGCTATAGACAGCTTAAGAAATCCAATGGGCGCTAGCATTTTGGGGGGCCGACTGGCTTTACGCTAAATGGGAAACGATTTCAGAGGTGGTGGGCCTGAACATTTCCACAGTGACGTTTGTCCTGGTGTGGCCTGACACTGCCACATTTCAACAAAAGGCCCTTTTACTGGGTGAATCCCAAGCAACCGCCATTGCTCACTGGTCAGCCTACAAGGACTGAAGTCAAACCACCCAACCAGTTGGAGGGACAGTGGCCTCACACTTCTAAGGCAGCAGGTTCGATTCCCAGGGTCCTTTGTTGGCTTCCTGCCACGTTCCTGTTTCGCCCAATTTGCATGAAATGGCGTCTCTGGATCCATCTTGTGTGTGTGAACTACAGCTGTCTTTTTTCCGTGACTGGTGCACATGAAAGTCAACAAAAAACCTACAGACCCCGTCAGATACCATGGCCCCATGTGGCAGCAGCACAGGGTGGATCAGCACAGGGTGGATCAGCACAGGGTGGATCAGCACAGGGTGGATCAGAAGGCCGTGGTTTTAAGCACGTCGCTCCGCAGCGCGGCTCAGGAAGTCCCGTCTCTGCATCTTCAGGGCTTCCAGGCTCTGCTCTGGCCCCAGTTACGCCTTTGTCCTCGTTGTGTTCACCTGGTTTCCTTCCATACCACAGATACGCTTTGCTCAGGTGACACAGTGACTCAGTCGCTCCTTAGAGACAGACTGTCAGGAGATCCCTCATCACTGGACGATGCTCTAGATCATCATGACCTTCGAAAGATAATCCCTTCTGGATAAACCAGAGACCGATTTCCATCTGAAATATCTGAATTGGGATTTTTCAATTTCAGCAGAGAACATGGGACCTGAAGACCAACAGCAAGGAAGGGAGAGCTGTTGTACACTTGAGCAAGATCCTTTCACCAGTATTGCAGCTGGTGATGCGTACAGCTGTATACGAGTGTAGTGAATCCCAGAAAAACTGTAAAAAAGTGTAGACTGTGTTAAAGTCAACACTCTTCTCCATGAAAATAAACAACATATATGGCCAAGAATAATCCCACTTTACCCAAGAACTTTGGCCACCTGGCCTTGGGTCAGCTAAAGCACTATTACGAGCGAACCACAGTTAACCCTGACCCTGTTCACATCTACAGCAGACATGACGTTTGACAGAGGGCCACTTTCCCAAAATACTCACAGGACTGACTCTAGCTATGAGTGCCAATAACACTCAGCGAGATAATGACAGCGAAGCCAGAACCATATGACGGGCAGGCTGGCTTTTTACACTTGGGCGTGACAGCAGTACATGTCACAGAGATGCTGGCTTCATACACTGATCAGTGCAAAATAAAATAACATCAATTAGGGAAATTAACATCCTTGCCACTATCCCTTAAACGCTTGTAATCATTATGATAATAAATGATCAAAATATTTTAGAAGCATTTTAGCTATATTTATTATGGCTGTAATATAATAAAGGCATAAGAAATTTATACACCAAACTCAATGACTGCAAGTTATCTATGAGTATTTCTGAATTAGAAAGTGCAATATTACAGGTACTTAACTGACTTCAGTCATGACAGAGACGTTAGGAAATAAGGAAGTCCATGAGAAACAATTTTAAACCAATTTGCACAGCATGTACAGAAAAACTGTTCATTCTTTTCCATTATAGCGCCACCTACGGTGGTTCGATACAACACCCACACAAAGCGGGCCAGGGCCGCAATCCGTGTTTCTCTCCAGGTTCTGGTAAATTCCACAACTCTGAAACGGCAAATATTACAAAGACCATTCTGATTTAGCAGTTCTGAAGGACGATGCTGTTTGTATCAGTGACCTGTACTGGATTTTCGCTATTAAAAATAATGAGCAAACCGTCGCAGTTTTAAGGCGGCGGTTACGGGGCTCCACAGCCCGACAAAGGGCAACGCCGCACGTAATAAAGGAAGGACATTAGCGGTGCTTAGTAGCATTTCAGCCGTCACCCAAATCGTTAGCGGAGCCCTTTAAATAACTTTCAAATATCTCTCCGCCTGACCACCTACAGATGCCATTAAAATTAGTCACATGGATCCGAGGTCCCCTGCCAGACACCCTCACCACCTACCCCCCGGTGAGCTTCCAAGGGGCGTCCGGATGGGGTTTGACAGGGCGCGACCGTCCTGCCCCCGCCTCCCTAACGCAGGTCACGGCCCGACAGATGGAGGGGAGATACCATTAGGGCCCACAATATTCATAAACAACTGTTCGCTGTCTGCGTTTGCTGTTCGCGCCGATAGCCGGCGAGCGGGAAAAGCTGGGGAGCAGGCGCGCCGCCTTGTTTGACAAAGCCTGACATAGAGAGCGGTCCGGACGGAAATATAGCGAGCGGGCGGGAGGGCGAGCGAGCGCGCGCGGGGGTGCGGGCGGCCGGCACCGGCGTGTCACGCGCAACCAGGGGATTGGCCGATAATAGCGCCGGGCGCGAGCGGGGCCAGAAGCAGGACAGAGGCGCTCGTTTGCGCACTATCAATCACGTACGGGAAAACGTCCCTTATAGCAAAGGCAATAACACATTCTGTCCCCCTTCCAGAGAGCAAAGCGCAGCACTAGGGAGAAGTCCCGTCTACGCTGGCCTGCTTTCTCTACTGAGAATCAGGCCAGTGCATAGTCACCTTGAACCAGAGGCTCTCTGCCACGGCAAAATTTGAAAAAGGGGAGATGAGGAAAAAAAAAACCTGGCAAAAGCAACCTGCTACATTTCATTTCCATTTCCATAAACGTGAACATTATTTTAATTAAGCTACAGTGGGGATAGGGAAGGTCCACACATTTTCTAAATGAAGAGCAGTGGAATCAAACTGCAGACCTTGTTAAACAACCACCTTTAAGGCAAGCCATAGAGGGAACCTTGCAGGATTAACGTTATGGTTTATTTTTGACTTTGAGACTAACGACTTTGCCCTACAGCAAAAAAGAGAGAGAAAGGCGGCGTTACAGCGGCGCACGTCGGGGGAATGCAGACTTCAAAGAGCGCTGCTTAAGTGAGCCTTTCGGACCACGGTAACAGAAATTGATGTGTGAGTCATTAACGCCGGCCAGATGTGAACCGCATAGAAACCAAAAATATTTGGGCACTTAAAATATTTTATTTGTGCGCAAATGGCAGCTGTAAACTGTCTCTCCAGAAAAACAAGCTCGTTTATAAATGCTTAGTCTCAAATTTTCGCACACCTGTCGCCAGATTTGCAAAACAAAAAGTTAAAACAATTGTGTGCACATTTAAAATATTGAATATCTCATGCGTGATACGGTCCTTCAATTTTGCAAGACTCAGCCAGCAGAAGAAAGTCCTGGAGCTGACTGAATCCGGTATTTGGTGGAATAAACACGGAGCAGAAACGTCTCACGTGTGCGGCGGAAAAACAGCCCCAACACCGGGAGCCCGGGATGATCGCCTTACAAACGTTATTAACCCCGATGGTAACGGACTACTGCTCAGCCAGGCTGACACACTGAGAACCCTTCTAAGATGGGGCTGACAGGGAGAGACTGACTGACTGATAGCACTGTTATTGATCACAGAATATAATTAAAGCTAGAACTGAAGTAAAAGTAGTGTCCATAAAACAAGGATAGGCAAAGGTAACTGTAAAATACCTCCCACTTCAGTTACAAATAATAAGCATTTTTACTTGGGGAAAAATAAACTGCCATTTGGACCGACATATATCTAATTAATCTATTGAAATACTGAATGGGTTAGGATGTAATACACAGGCGACAAATAACGTGGTGATCACTGTAATGCCAGTGCTCCAAGGAATGGGCCGAGTCTGAGTATCCAGCCTGATCGCCGAGATTATGGTGCGATGCTGGTTGCGGAAGTCTGGGACACAAGCTGGTTCACCTCATGTCGGAGGGGTGCGGCGTGTGACGTGTGTCAGCAACCGACAGGAGACCTTTCAAAAGCCGACAAATCTCTTTTTTACAAAGACGTGCGGGTAACAGCCTGCATACGTACATAAGGAACCACGACAGCACAGCGCCTAGAAGGCTAGCTTGTCATTTAACGGGATTGCTGACAAGAGCATCGTGCTGAAAGAGCAGCGACTGTAAACAAGCCGTGTGCAGTTAAATTGGACCAAACAGCAAACAAAGACTGACAATGAGGGCAAAACGGGGTAAATCACAGCCCAGCGAACAGCCAGGCTCTCTATAAACAACTGCACAGTCACTAGCATAGCTTCTACAGCCAAGCGGCTGGGGGCGCACAAAACGGACCCAGTTCCTAAATTCACCCTCCACTTTGACTTTGCCTTGTCGAAATAAAGCACGTTATACGGTCGAAACAAGCCGCCACCGGCTCCGAGCGACGCAGTGGCAGTTTTCTTACCCGTCCCAAGTACCACAACATCGAACTCGCCAGGCAGGTCGGCGGCCATCTTGGAAACGGCTGCGAAGCCACGTGACCGTTACCATGGCGCGCCCATGACGCCACAGCTCGAGGCGGCCCTGCAGAGTAATACCTCATATGATATAATAACATCATATTATAGTTACTAAAACCTAACAAGTATATTACACTCAACAAGATACCGAGCAAGATTAGTCTTTCAGTAAACCAACATGCTTTTGAAATAAAGCTTTTAATTGCATAAGATTATACTGCTACATGTACGTAATTATATAATTATGGTTATGATTAATTGTTTGCTTTGAAACCGAGATGGAGATCATTCCCTGGTTAAGAATAGGCGTTCTTTCCTAGTTCACCAATCGCCATCAATCATACATCGCATTAATAAGTTTTTTTAAAACCCAGTCTTCGTAAGCAATAGTTCATAAGCAGTAATCGCGCCACATGCATGAGAAAGTTACGCATCCTGACAGAACAGACCAGCCACGGGCTCACAGCTACTTACGTTGTTTTTATACTTTAACATACAACAGATTTCTTCTGGAAATTAGAATTCATTATGGCAGGGGGTTCAATGCAAAATTGCCCCCCCCCCCCTCAGCCGGCAAAATTTACCTAGTCCCCCTTGTGATAAAACTATAATGCAAAATCCACAACAATTTGCGGAGAACACGCCCTCCCGGAGCTGGCACATTCTACCAAGCCCCCCGCCCCCTGTCCGCTGTGAGATTCCTCCTCTGTCCCTGATGTCAGAGCTAACCCTGGGTGTTCTGAAGTCCTAGGCGAGATTCCCCTGAGCCAAAGAGCAGCATTAACTGTAATTCCGTCAATTAATTTACATTAAAAACATCTCAGTAGCACAGGGTATCTGGTTCCTAACTAGCTAGCTGGTGTCTGTTTCATAAGAAAAGTACTGAAACATTAAAACTAGTGTAAATGACTGTAATGTCACAGAATGCAAGCAGAAGTATTCTGATTCTATTCACTTGCTCTGTTGCACCCCCCGTCAAATAGCACCCCAATCGATCGCCTCTGTTGCACCCCCCCGTCAAATAGCACCCCAATCGATCACCTGTGTTGCACCCCCGTCAAATAGCACCCCAATCGCTCACCTGTGTTGCACCCCCGTCAAATAGCACCCCAATTGATCGCCTGTGTTGCACCCCCGTCAAATAGCACCCCAATCAATCGCCTGTGTTGCCTATATGGCAGGCTGGCTCTGCCTTCTGCACACCTCTTGCTTCTGGCCATGGAAACAAAAGCAGCATCTTTCAGCAGGTGACACTGATGACGATGGCTCATATTCTCTAAACCTGTGGACAGGGGGCTTTCCATCTACGTCACTTTGGCATCTGTCAACAGTGCTTATTCCACCAAACTGGAAAATCTATGCAACTGATCACACTACTGGCTGGAGACACAAAGCATCTGTATTCATATAGAAATGACAAAGTGCTGGTGAAGGGCGCAGCTTTCAGGACAACAGGCAGGGAACGTTCACTGTATGTTCTGGAAGTTTATTATATTAATATCTGTTTTATGTTGTCTAATGAAGGCTTTTTTTCTCCAGTGCCTAAAATGACTGTAATGTAACTTGGACTCAATGTGGCTGAAGCCTGGTGTCACCATGTCCCTCAAATCAGCTACCGGGGAGTTTTTTTTAAATGAAGCACTAACTTTCCACACTGAGAGATACCCACGATCCCTCCTGGTGGCTGCATGTTGTGCCATCACTGTTCTGCCAATGTGTGACATGTAAGAGACACAAGTATCACATCCCATGGGACCTCTGGAAGTTTTTGATGTGGGAACTGGGCAAGCGTGTGTAGTTGTTGTCACAAATTGTGCGCAGAGGTTCTGACCTCCAGATCCACAAACAGATGAACAAGGCAATTGCTGTGGAGACCAACTGTCTGAAGGTTCCTGTTGATAGCTGCCTTGAAGTACAACACATTTTTAACTTAGCCTGTGATTGTGTCACCAGTGGTCTATATGGCTCTATTGCACCTGGATTTTGGAGGATGTACAACTGGCTACCGTGGCAACAACTGGTGACACAATCTCTCCTTTCTGCAGGCTGACATCACAGTCAGTTCTTTGTGACACAACAGCAATACGCCCAGCAGTTTGAAACTGAAACATCTGCCAGGTGCATGACATCTTTACCTGTAATTCTACTTACCGTAAAAGCAAATTTTATCCCTTTCAGTTGGAAAGATAACATAACAATCATGTTTTACAATCTATTATATAGTTTTAAAAATGTAAGGAATAGAGTATTGTACTAACAACACAAAAGTCTTGGCTTGAAATCCCAGGGAGTGCACAGAGAAATTGTAACCCATCCATTTGTTGTTAGTTCCATCCATCCATCCATTATCTGCCACTCCTCCAGTTCTGGGTCGTGAGGCAGCAGTTTAAGCAGGGATGCCCAGACCTCCCATTAACCTCCTCCAGCTCCTCCGGGGAACGCCGTTTCCAAGCCAGCCCAGAGATATAATCTCTCCAGCATGTCCTGGGTCTGCCCCGGGGTCTCCTCCCAGTTGGACATGGCTCCTTTCCATGTGGAGGAAGAGCAGCTCTACTTGGAGCTCCTGCAGAATGTCTAAGCTCCTCCTCCTCACTCTAAGGTGGAGCCAGGAAACCTGCAAAGGAAACTCATTTCGGCCACTTTTATCCACAATCTCAATCTTTTGGTCACTAACTAAAGCTTGTGACCATAGATGTGAGTAGGTATGTAGATCGACCAGTAGATCGATAGCATTGCCTTCTGGATCAGCTCTCTAAAACTGCTGATGCTGCATCGATCTGCCTCTTGATTTCCTGTTCCCTTGCTCCCTCACTCATGAACAATGAACCCTAGATACGTAAGCACCCCATTCATGGTCCCTAAGAAGGTTGCATACTCTGAGCTGGTGTTTGGCACTTACACACAGACAGCAGTCAG